TGAAATTTTACAGTTTACACTATACATAATCATACCAATAGCAAATAGAGCAGGGTTGTAGGGAGAGGGGGGCTCCCCACATTCCTACACCCCTGCAATAGTCATAGATCATACCCTACGGGTTCCTTGCACATATTATTCAAATGTTAAATTACTAAAAATGTACAGTAAAGCACTTGGTACTGGCATACTGTCTCAGGCTGATTAGATTACCGTGGTGTCATGATTATGGTAATCATGACATCAGTTATAGTAGCAGTTATAGCAGCTGTAGTACTAGTAGATACTGGGCCGCGATCAGCCTGTCATCCCGCCGAATCTCTATTGTTTATGAACATTATAGCCTGGGGTCTCCAGGTAACTGTAGAAGAAGTAGTAACAGCCGTTATGTTATGTCGTAATCTATCAAAAAGTGTTGCCTCGAATACTACTAGTACTATTATAGTACGTAGTATACTATTACTAGTGGTACTACTACTAATGTTTCATTTCCGTACAGTGTTATTCGGCTAATGACTATGATAGTACGGCGACATTTCCTAGCAGCTGATTTGTGATTTTAATATACATCTTATATGATGGGCGGTGTATCCGGAAGAGATAACATGAACTGGGTGAGCTGCGATTTGAAATGCTCCCGGTCGCCGATGCAATTCAGATGGTAAAGCATTGCATTCCACAATTTTCTGCGAATAGATTATCATAGTGACTGATTTGCTGCTGAGCTGGGTCTGCATGCAGATGGAATAACTGCTAGGTTTCCAAAACGTGGCCTTAAGACAAACTGCACGTTAAAATCGTTGCTAGTATGGTGATGGAGAATCTTCCACATATGAAGTAAAGTAAACCGCTCCTTGCGACGCTGTAAAGACATCAGAGATAGCCGTTGAATAAGGTCCCATTAATGGAGATCACGCATTTCAGTAATCCTTGCAGTGAAAGCTTTCTGTACGCTTTCAAGCTCCTGGATGTCACATATCTTGGAGGTGTGCCATAGCGGGCAACAGTATTCCAGTAGACTACGAACCATCGACTTGTAAAGCGTGAGCATTATGACTGGAGATCTGGTCTGAAAGACACTGAAAACCCAGGCAGCTGTTTCTATTGTGTCTATGACAGTTGACACATGTACTCAGACTTGTCTTTGTGTAGTGCCATATTGTTACGTTCAGACCATGAACACTGTTCAACTTCAAGTCATTTTGTAAAACGGATACGTCTTGTTAACTAATATTCTAGATTCTAGGATGAAGGTCAAATAAAATAACGTCCGATAAAATAGTTCCACTAACAGTATGTTTCTCATGTTCCTGACAAGATGAAAGACTCCAGAAGTTTGAATCAAACCGGCGGAGTTGGAAAAGAAGACAGCGACTTAATGGCAATGCCGGTTTTGTCAGAAGAGACCATGATGCGGGGTTATCACGTGATGGTCATAGTTTTGTGTTGTTTCGTTTTAGCTGCTATTGCTTTGTGCTACGTCACCTGGAAACTGCGGTACATGATCGTACTTCGAGTGGTAATTTACATTATAATTTACTTATAATACACGATATTTCGTGCTTTATTATTCGCAATGATACAACTGTTTGAAGTTAATTAATAAAGATTTTCAAGAATTAAAAAAAATCTTCGCGTTCGTCAAATACTGGACTAAATTTTCATCAAAATTTGGAATCAATTTTAACAAAACATATTTAATTAGTAATAGTGACTTATCAGTGATTTATTACTGAATATTAGTGATTTATTAGTGATTTATTAGTGATTTATTAGTGACCACCACCATCAGAGGGACCCACAAACAACAGTAGTTCAGAACCTGATTGCACAAACAGTGAATAGTGTGATTAAATCTGGTCGTGCAGGTCACCTCGGTACGGGGTCGTATGAACCCATACCCAGGGATGTGATGAGACTACAATCCTGGGAAATTCCTGAGAGTCTTTATTATGAGGTATGTAATTTGTTGTGTTTACACAATCATATCGGATTTTCTATTCCCTTAAAAGTTAAATCACAAAGGTCAACTGGAACCATCAATGATTCATACACTGCATTTTACAGGCATCTTCTGAATTTTATCAAAACTATTTCTGCAGACCGAGACCGATGCTAAACCTGCACTAGACAGAGCAAAAGTAAAGAAGAAAGTAACAATACGAGCAAACAGAGTAATTCATAGAGCGTCCACAGGGCAGATATTGCCACGAAGTGGGGTCAAGGCTGCCAGACCTCGGGGTAAAACCTTACCAGTTACCAACGTTATATTACCCTTACCCACTTATTACTCTTCGTTTGAAATCTAGTCGGACATTAATCATTGTAATTTGTAATTAGTATTTCTTGGTATAAGAACATGCTGTTTTTTATTAATTGCCATGTGAATGTGATCCAGCTTTAGAAAGGGACTTAACAAACGCCCCCCGCAGCAAAGACAGTGATCAACAAGCCGACCTACAGAAGATACTCCCGGATAAAATCAATAAGGCTCAGCTCTGGTCGGACAGTTCCAAGAGAGGTGGACCTCACAGTGTTACCGTCGGAGAGGTTGACAGGAACTACACATCCATTAGATAGAGCCTTATCAGGGATGAGTTATACCGGGTCAGCCACTGGGAGTGGTTACTCCAGTGCGTGACAATTTTAAGTTTAACAGCATTTTGATTTATATTCGATAGGTTCTTGATCAGTTTTAACAAAAAAAGTGTAACAACCCCTATTTACTTCCAAACTTTTTGTTACACTGGGGCATGATCACGAGCATTAATGTTCAGTTAATTACAAATGGAACCTTGAAATTTAGGATAAAATCAAACGTACGATAAATGATAAAACTGAACAAATATTTCCTTGTCCAGTACATTTCATTAATCGCGGAGCGATTAGTGTCGAGGAAACAGTAGTTGACTCAACATGAACTGTTTAGCGGATCACAGTTATGACTATGAGATAAATGACTCATAATGTCATATACTCGCATTTTCTCCCATCCATTTCCAATGTATTGTTTTTTTACAATTTCGTTACATATTATGTATAAATAACAGATAAATACGTAGTGGACATGTTTGTGTATGAAATGAAATGAGGTATTTATATCCCGCTCATATGATTAACCAACAACACAAGGAATGTGGTTTACCATACATAACTGTAATCAAATTCTTACAAAATCAAGTATAATGATTGTGTATTTATCTGTTAAAGCCCCAAATGGTACATATTGGCCTCCACGTGCCTTGGGGTGGGTGGTGTTTTGAGTGACTGTGGTAGCGTCACAAAAACGTTGAGGAAGATGTGTCTTCTGTTTTCTTGAAGTTTTGACTACGTATTAACCTATCTACAACTGCTGTGATGTAGCATCCATCTACCCAAGTTTTTGGACGCTGTATTTCGACATGAGAAAGATTTTGGTGGTTTTTGCTACTGTGTAGTAAATTGTGATTAGAGGAAATTGAAAGAGGAAAGAAGAGAGTAATAATAAAAGCATCACAAATATTGTAATACAATATTTGTGATGCTTTTATTATTACTCTCTTCTTTCCTCTTTCCACGGTGCTGGATACAAGGATTGCGATGAGTTCATGTACACTTATATCTTGTTTGAATTATGTTTGTTATATTTGCTACAAGGGTTCAATAAGTTTAAAATAGATTCAGATCAACTTAAAGGTGCAAGAAATTGGAGATGAATTAATGGTCGATGTGAATGTTGTTGGACGCATAAAGCGCACAGTTGATTCGATCAAATTTATTGGATTAAGCTTTACCGTTTTCTAAATCTTGATATAGAACTATCACTGTTTTTGATTTTATGCACTTTGTTCACAACGAATACCAATTTCTTCTCGCGGTCACATTTTTGTATCATTCGTTTTTAAATTTTCCAATCATCTAAAATCTTAAAATCCAATCTGAGTACAATTAACCGCTAGAAAACCGTAATAAGTGACAATTCTCCGCGGTTTTGGAAATTTTTGTATTTTGTACAATTGTAAAGAATACAACATGCTATGCGTGGAATTTAGGTGGGTTTTACAAGTTTTACTTTTACAAGTTTTACAAGTGAGTATAAAAACAAACTAAAGGAAATTCTTGAGGAGCTTAATAAAAGCAACCAAAAAGTGGAATAATTAACCATACAGCTCATTGCATCTTACAATATCATACAGCGTATAATATATCAGTGATTACTTATTTAACTGACAACAAAAATTAAAAGTTAAAACAAACGAAGATATTTAGATGATAAAAATAGTGTATCTACAATCTACAGTTAGGACTTAGGTCATCAAAAAGTTACCGCCATGGATTTTAAAGTATAATAATTGACTGACGGTAAATGTATGACAAGATGTTTGATTCTCGTTGGTGTATTAGTTATTGTTGAGTTTCAAAATAAATTCAAATGCGAAGATACCTGATTTTTTGCTTCAATCACCAAAAAAAGTTATTAATATTTAATCGTTATTAAAAACACAAATACAGAGTAAAAATAGGTTTAAAATCAAAGTGGGGTTAATAGTTAATACGGAAGAAACTTAACTCATACTGTTATAACAAACATGTAATTATATTTGGCGAAATTTTGGAACAATCTTCAAAAACATCATTTTTAAATGTTTTTTGTAAATAATTTTTTCTTTTCATGATTTTTTGATGTTTTTCCCCTTTTTTCATGTTTGCAGTTATCAGCTCAATAAAAATCGACAAAAGATTCAAGTTTTTGTTGTTTTTAGAATTAGCGGGAAAATTTGTTTTTAGGAGTAGAAGATTGGTCCAGTAGTTATAGTTACATATTGGTGAAAAGTAGACTGATCAAGATGAAAATATAATGATTATAACTTAATTTTAAAATTAAAACAAACAATAACTTTAAATTTGTTGTGTACCATCAGTTTCTGGGAGTAGTACCTTTCCCATTATAATTATCTCCCACAAGTTCAACATCTAGCATTAGCAACACTCTGATGATTACTTTATTTAATATTGACTCTCTTATATTTACAAGGAAACCAAATTACATTTCTGTATTTCACACCTCAAACACTCTCCGCTCAAACCAACGTGCTCTTCGTTGTAATCGCGCGAGATACAACTCTCTATATCAATTAACAAATCAACTAACCATTCAACTAAATGACCGAGCAGTCAAATTACAAATTTAAGAAGCGGGAGGAGAAGATTGTTTCTCGATGGGGAAGTAGAGGAACGATTGTTTTGAAAGCCGTTTCTTCAACTGCAGGTGCCGCTTAATGAATTCTACGGTATCCATTTGTTCTGCTAACCTGTAGGTGAGAAGAGCTAGTATTGAGGTGGGGGGTTGTATTTAGGTGGGGGAGGGGGTTGTGGGCAGGGGGAGGTAGTGAGGGTAGGGAGGAGGTGGGGGAGGGGGTTGTGGGCAGGGGGAGGTAGTGGGGGTAGTATTGAGTATATTCTTAATTTGGCTATGACGTATTCTTATTATCGTTACAATAAACACACATTTTTATTCTTAACCCTATAGAGTGGAAGGACTATTCTGTGTTCAAACAATACTTCATGAACAAATATTCGGATATTGAATAAAGGTATTTACCTAAGAACTTCCATAAGATCAGGAAAAGTAACCAATCTGTTTTCGTTCGTCCAAATTCTAATTAGTTCAGCTGTTGGACTGTCCAGTGACCTGTTTATAAAAAATGTTAAATCAAAACTCATTACAAAGCAGGTGTGGATGGAACAGAAATACCAGAAAGGTTTTAAGTCAAGTCTCTCTCGAAATTCGCTCAAATCAACATCAAAATGAAGTCCGCGCCCGTTTCTTGAAAAAAAATCACAGCACTTACGATTCAATGTCTTTAAGTCGATGTGACATGCCGAGCAGAGGTACAATCCTTCTCCACCCACAGGAAGGTGGCTCGTCCAGCATCCTGCACATGTGCTTCAGTAGACCGCGTGGTATGTCGTGTACATCTACATCTGACGTCCTCTGTGGTGTCGAGCTCTGGAGGGGATGGTCTTTGTTATTAATTAAATTATAAAGTTAAGGAAGGACGCTATTGTTAGTGGCCAGGTGTATGTAAGTGTCTCCTGGACAGGTCACAGATTTTAAGGTACCTGGTGAGTGGTGCTGTGGACAGATAACTTTGTAGATATTCATATATCCTAATAGAATACTAATTACTAATACACGACCAATTTTGATATCCTCAAGAAATCACTAAAGATGGTCGCTAGATCTAGCAAACTCCTAAATATTTAATTTCGATTGATAATTAATATCAATCGTAAATTGCACGTAAACAACCTTTTAAAAGCTTTCTCTGTATTTAAATTAGCGTTTATCTATTTAAACTTCCTGAACAAAATATATCACCAAATACATTTCCGAGGGGAAACTGAACGCTTTTAACTTTCTTAAAATGCAGTTTAAACCCCAGTGCTTTTTTCTCTCTAGTCCGTTAAAAAAATTCACTGAAACTTTCCCCGACTCTATTCATCACACATTTATCACACATTCTAGTTAAACTGCTGCAAACACTACAACAATATCTCTCACATGAGCGTGAACAACTATTGGGCCACTCGCAACTTTATCCTCCTTCTCTTTCTCATTCTCATTAGCAGACACCTCCGTGTCCTGGTGCTGTTGTCGGGAGAATTAATTATCATAATTAATTATCATCGATTAATTATCATAATTAATTATCATCCATTAGTAATCATAATTAATTGTCATGTTTTATTAGTGATATCATTACGTTTTTTGTGAGTTTTTCTAAGCGTTCATTCACCCATTATATTCTCATACAAAAAATGTTCGTGCGACGAAAATGTGTGTTAAATCTACGAATCATTAACAAACAGACGCTGATCTTAGTAGTTATTGATTTTATGATTTTTTAAAGTAAAGAATGTAAATAAAATCAGTGATCTCGTTAAGAACTACACGGACGGACGGAAACTAACCTCTGTGATATCGTGGAGCGGGTTAATGAATCGTTTCTGTCTCAGCTTCTCCAGCCTCTCTTCCTCAGACTCAAGTGTCTGCTCCACGCCGTGTATTGCTCTTCTCACCATCTGCAACTTGTCCAGTGTCTTCGTGGCTTTTTGTTCGCTGTCCATTGAGATGTCAAGGGAGGTTTGGGAGTGTGTTCGTTCGAACCGTCTCAGCGCTGCGTCCTTTTCAATCTGATAATAACAATCATCATGAATATTGAATACATTATATTTTAGGAATGAAATAATTGTGTAGGTGTGTGGAGATGTGTTGGTTGATTTTACAAAAATCGGTTCATTTGCATTTAATTTGACATTGAAAAGAGCTGGTGCGTGAAACTAACTGTAGTAGAGACACTGAGACAGACTAACCGTAGTAGAGACAGACTCCATAGACTTTTGAAGCTGCTGATCCTCCTCTCTCCCCACGTCCACCATATCGTAGTGATAGATCAGCTCCTCTTCAGCTGTCTTCCCTAACTGCTGTACCGCTCTCGTTATCTAAGAAAGTGAAAGTGAAAGTGAAAGTGAAAGTGAAAGTGAAAGTGAAAGTGAAG